ATTGGTCACTTTTGGGGATGGTCACTGGCAGTTCTGGTGTTGAATATCAAAAACCAAATACCTGTGGTAGATTTGCACTTTTGTGGTGAGAATTTATTGGTGAGCAGTGGGAGAAGCTGGAATTTTTCCCTCTGAGGATGCAGCAGTGGAAATGCACATGAAAATGTGGAATATGACACAGTTCATCCTCAACAATTTTGCTGTAATGGTAGCTTTCCCTTTTTAGCTTTGCCATGATTCATTGACTAAATATGTGCCTTCAAATTCTGGCCTTATTTAAACTAAAGAGAGACCCTGCACTGATTGGGGCAAAGCTCTGGGCTGGAGTTCCACTCTGTTACCACTGTTGGCTTTAATGCCTATTAAAAAAATTATTAATTGGCTTAATGGAGTCTGGAAAACCCTCACAAAATACCACCAAAATTTCCATCTAGAAATGGATTTTTTTGGTGTTGTTACTAAAATTTTCTGAGCAAAAACAAATTTACGGATTTTTTCCTCTTCTGTGTATTGAAAAGGGATTTTTTTATAAGAAAAGGTATTGAAAGAACTTGAGGTAACTGCAGAATTTCCACCTCCAGGCAGTGGTGGTGGGGCTGCAGGGTTTGCCTGTGATGTGTTGGGTTTCAGGATTACTTTCTTTCTTGTATTTCTCCTTTTACTGCTAATATTTCTGCACCTGAATTCAGCCTTGTGCTTCCATGATGAACCAGATTCCACAGAATAAATATTTCAATTGCTAAAATCTGTCTAAATAATTGATCATAAAATGAGAAGGAATCATTACAATCTCTTCAGACTGCTCTTGACATAAACGAGGCTGGTACCTAATTAACTCTCTAATTAACTGGTTACTGGGGGCTGGCTGATTTTCTAGAAAGAGCTTTGGTGTGAGTGAAATTTTTGCAGTTTAACCTCCTGCTGGTGTTTTTGTCTCCTGTGTGCCTGGGTTGGTTTACTGGGATTGCAGCCTGTGCCCTGTGCTGTGCCTTTGTCCTCCAGCCTGGGGATTGTGCCCGGGTGCAGCTCCTGTGCAAGGAGTGCCCGATAACAGAGTGCTCTGTGTGCTCCTGCAGACACAGCTTGCAGGGTGCCTGCCTGCAAAGGGAGTTCTTTTCTTCTTGTTGCTGCCCTTAGCTCCTTCATTGAAATTTGTGTTTATTCTAGATGCTGTGTCGGTCATATCTTCTGAGTCCAAGGGTGACATGGCTGCCTAATGAAATATTAATTAATGTTTAGCTGGAGATTGCATTCACTGTCATGCTTGGGGTGCTATGGTTGAAAACCATGTTCAAATAATTCCTTGCTGTGCTTTCAAACCTATTTCAGGATATCTGCCCTTCCATCCCTCTGATTGGTTCTTGGATAAACTTGAAGTTTCATTTATCTGTAAACTCAGCAGCAGTTGTTTTCTTACTCCTATATTCCTGAACTATGTAATTGATTTAACTTCTTGTTCATTTGCTGCCTTCTCCGTTTGTGATGTTCTTTATCAGTAACTCTTTTCTTTTTTTTTTTTAGAACCATCATGAAAATGTTTACTTTGATGCCAAGAGCCCAACTTCACTAGGAACTCACCCTCCAACTGCTTGAAGACACCTGTCCTTAGTTGAATACTGGGACTCATTAGGTAACCAATTAATAATCTGTCCAGTGAATGCTCCTTTGCTTTTATGTTCTAATTTGCAGCTTGAAAAATGGTTCAGTGAGAAGCCAGAGGTCTGTCTCTGTCAGAGCAGTGTTGTCATCAAATAAATTTGATATCCTTTGTAAGAAAATCACAAGTAGTGGGGGACCAGCAGGTTTTCCTCAAACCTGTGCAATATCTGGACAGTCTCAGATGGAAAAATTGAATTTTCCAGTTGTACCCACTTGAGCAGACCCTACTGGCTTGGGTTTGTCACTTGTGGAGAAGTGGAGCTGGGATCTTGAGCAATGCCCCAAATTTTGGTGGCTGACATGAGGCAAGGTTAGGAAATGTGTGTCAGTAAAGTCACAGGTCAGCACTGAGGTTCAGCTCCTCTGTGTTGGCAAAAAGCTGCTGCAAGGTTTTTTAGGGAGCTTTTTTTGGCCAAAATGCTTCTGAGGGGACTTCCTCTAACTCAGCAGACTGAGTGTCTGAAACTCATTGCTGGGGAGTGAAAAAAGGAAGTCTGCAAAAGGCTGTGTCCTTTAAATGGCTGAGGGGCTGCAGAGGAAAATGGTCACTGTTCTGTTTTTCTGTCTGTGCTCAGGTGGATCTTCCCCATGGGCACAGACAGAAAATCTGCACATTCTGCTCTGTGGCAAGGTCTGAGCTGTTCTATATTAAAAATGCTTAACACTTGTTTAATTACTTCAGAGGTGCTTCAGACTCCTTGAGTGGTCAGTGGTAATTGCAGGAAATGAGAGGGCACTTGGAGCTCCCTGCTGCAGCCTTGGGATGGCCTGGCTCTTGGAACAGCCCTCCTTAATGAGCACAGAGTGACATTTAACGAGGAAAAACATTTTTGGGTGGATCATACAGTTTGATCAGAGATGTGTTGTGGTTTGTCTTGCCATCTGTGCCTTATTCAGCTTTCCTTTTGATGAGTAGCCACTACAAATGATGCAGCCTGTGTGGCAGTGTCTGCTGTGTCTGTGCAGAGTCCCTGCAAGCACAGCTCCCTCCTCATGAGCCACAGCTATGTCATGTGTTTTGTGAAATGATTCATTATTGCACTGGAAGTGGCAGCTAAAAGCCTCCAACTCTACTGATTTTAATTTGAAATGATTGCTCTCTGTGGCCTTGTGCAAGTTCCTGTGCAGTTGTTTAGTGGCAAAAAGTAACTTCTTTGGCATTTCTCTGCCTCTTCCCTCTTTTTTTTTTTCAATGTATTTGGCATGTCAGTGTATAATTAGAACACTTTGTTCTTGAAACAAAAATTGAACTGCTATTCTCAGAATGCAGTTTTACAGCCTGCTGAAACAAAGGGGTTTTTCATTATCCTTCTCCTTCAGTACCCCTTGATAAGCAAAAAAAACTGTGGAGCTAAAGCAGCATGGGCAAAACTCAGCCCTGGTGACACCAAACTGCTCATGAGGGGAAAAATCACTGGGGAAGGCACAGAGGTGACAGAGGCTGGAGACTTTTAACTTGGCACTGAGGAAGAGGTGGCTTTGAGGTTGGTGATTGAGAGGCTGGGTTGCTGTCTGGCCTGCACCAAGGCTGAGGGGAGGAAAAAGGCATCCTGATGAGTGATTTTTGGAGATGTGTGAATGAGACCCTGAACCCAGTGAGGAAGGAGTTGCTGTGATGGGTACAGAGCTTGTGAATGGAGTGGGTTGTTTAGCATCTTGTTTACTGCTAAAAAGTAGCTGCAATAAGACTTGACTTTGCTTTGTTGCCTAAAATGGAAGATAAAAGTGGTGTTCAGCCCCTCTGTAGCAAGGATGTGGTTCTGTCAAGTGGGATGAGCAATCTCTTGGCTGTGTGAGTGACCTGTGCTGGGGGATCCCTGTGGTGTCACAGGGGCTGCCAGCAGTGCCTGCTCCAGGCTGCTCAGGGGGGTGGGTGCTCTACCTGTCTGTGCTTCCCATGGAAAGGGCTCAGTTTGGGAAAATGGGGGAAAAAAGTGTCAGAACCATTTTCCTCCTTGTGTGTGCACTGATCCTCTGCCACAGCTCATGGCTGCTCTAAACTATTGAATTAATGAGTGACCAAACCCTGTTTCTGCCTCCAACTGCTGGTGCAGCTTTAAGGAAGAGTTTCTGTGGGAGGGTGGATAAATGTTTACATGGACCAGGTCAAGGAAAGCATCTGGGCTAAACCTAACCTGGGGAAATAAGGAAGTTTTAGTTTGGACGTTGATCTTGGTTTGTTTTGCATTGTTTGTGTGAATTCTTAAATGCCATGACAGGAAAAAAGGGGTGGCCTGGGAATAGAAGGAAAAGTGAAAGGAAGCTGGATGCTGTGGCAGCTCTGCACTCCATAGGATATCCCAAACAGGCTGTTAGAAATAAAATCATTGTTAGTAAATTATAAAGAACAAATATACAATATGCTATGTAACTAATGTATTCTCATCCTGCAGAAAATAACACCTTGCCCTAATACTTGTTGTACCTGTTTTTAACACCTGATTTTTCATTTTTCCTTTTTTTTCAGACAATGGGCACTGCATATTAAGCAGGGGTGGAAGACTGAAGCCCATCTGGGGACAGAATGAGTTTAAAAGATGCTGACAGTGCAGTTTGCCAGGCAAAGGCAGCCTATAATCTTCATATTTACCCCCAACTCTCAACAGAAAGCGCTCCCTGCTGCAAAGTGACAGCAACCAAGGACAGCACATCATCAGATGTCATCAAGGATGTGATCAACATCTTAAACTTGGATGTCTCCAAGCATTATGTCCTGGTGGAGGTGAAGGAGTCAGGTGGAGAAGAATGGGTGCTGGACATCAACGATTCCCCCGTGCACAGGGTGCTGCTGTGGCCGCGGCGCGCTCAGGACGAGCACCCTCAGAAGGATGGCTACTACTTCCTGCTGCAGGAGAGGAACACTGATGGCTCCATCAAGTACATGCAGATGCAGCTGCTCTCCAAGGAGACGGATGCCAGGCGTCTGGTGGAGAGGGGATTTCTGCCCTGGCACCAGGAGGACTTTGATGATCTCTGCAATCTGCCCAACCTGACCGAGACAACGCTCCTGGAGAATCTCAAGTGCCGCTTCCTGAAGCACAGAATCTACACTTATGCAGGGAGCATCCTGATTGCAATTAACCCCTTCAAGTTCCTGCCCATTTATAACCCCAAGTATGTCAAGATGTATGAGAACCATCAGCTTGGGAAGTTGGAGCCTCACATTTTTGCCATTGCTGATGTGGCCTATCACACAATGCTTAAAAAACACGTTAACCAGTGCATCGTTATATCAGGTGAAAGTGGGTCTGGGAAAACCCAAAGCACAAACTTCTTAATTCACTGCCTCACTGCACTGAGCCAGAAAGGGTACGCCAGTGGTGTGGAGAGAACCATTCTGGGAGCTGGACCAGTTCTGGAGGTAAATTCATGCTCAAGTTGCCTTCTGTGCTAATTGGTTTTTAAAAACTTCAAATAGCTGCTGTTGAAAGTTACTTCTGAGTCACTCACTTGGTTTGGGCTTAAAATGTCACTGGTTTAGGCTTGGTTTAAATGTCACTGGGCTGCAGTGGTGCTTGGCAACATTACCCAACTGCTTCTGTTTGATTTTCCTTGTTCTGTTCACTTCACTTCCTGTTGCTTGTAATTTGTATTTGACTTAACTTTGCACCACTGAGCACCAATATTCTGGGGCAGAGGTTGCCTGTGTTTTCCATCTGAAAGTTTTGATGGCATTTGAATCAAATCATAAGCAAATTTTTCAAACACATTGTTCCACTGAAGCATCAGCTGCTTGGTGTTACCCTGCCTTTGTGTGGGAGCATTTTACTGAACTCACTTTTGGAGGGAGTCATTTCTGTTTGTGGAAGAGAGCAACATTTTGAGTTGGGGAAGAAGTAGGAGTCTGATTTGGCTTTTAATTCTTACAGCATTTCCAACAGAAAGCAAAACTAAACATGTGAGAAGGAAGGGGCACAGCTGGCCCTGTGTTAGGTAATGTCAGAATAAAATTAAACTGATCTGTTGAGCCCTTTTACTCTCTGAAAGGAAAAACCCCAGAAGTGTGGATGGATGCAATGTTCACCCATAATAAATCTTCAACAGCAAAGAGCTTCAGCACCATCATTGGAATTTTTAGGTTTAGTTTCAAATGGAGTAACTCCTTCATAAAAAAAAAAAAAAGTTCAAGCTTTTTTTAAAGCTCTTCTGTAAAGAATGAGGAATATATGCAAGTTCTTTTTTTCTTTTTTGTGTTGCTTTCAGCTGCTTGAAAGAAGAAGTAAAATTGAGGCTTTTTGGTTGCTGGAGTTGAAGTTTGCAGTTCTAAAGAGAAAACAGGAAGGGGTCACAGTGGAAAGCCCTGCTGAGAGATCAGCTGATCCCTCTGCCTTTGATAAATTTAATTCTTTCATATCCCTGTCTACAGACCTGGTCCAGCTGTGTCAGAGATTGAAGGTCCTGTGTGTCTGCTGAGTGACAAATGCAGCTTTCCCTGGGCTCAGAACTAACATTTCTAACTTTGTGTAAAGCTGGGTGTGCTCATGAAGAGACATTTGTGTTTCTCTGTGCTAACACTGGTTGTCTTAAATACCACAGTTTCTTCAGACTTCCACTGAAGATTTAGTAATATTTTTCATGAGAAAATAGTTTTTTTGGAGTTGAAAATTCATGTAAATTTGAAGTTGAAAATTCATGTAAATTTGGAGTTGAAAATTCATGTAAATTCAGTGTACATCCAAAAGGCAGGCTGAGAATATAAGAAGTAAAACCCAGTTCTCCTGTTTTGATGCATCAGGGCTGATTCAGCTGACAGTGAAGCTTCCATGTTTCCCAATTTCAGTCACTAAGCATAATTAAAAAAAACAACAATGGGAGGGATGCACAGAAAGCTTTGTGGAAGTTAAACTGAATTCAGGCTCCTCTTGGAGCTGAGCACTTCTGAATCCATCCCTGGTGACTCATTTTGGGTTTTTACTGAAGGGAACTAAAGTGCTACAAGGGAGTTTTTCTTAAATGAATGTTTCTGGGGATTTTTTGCACAAACAATTTTAGTGTGCCCAGACTATTTGAGAATGCTCTGTTTAACTTGGAAGTTTTATTCTGAATCTTCATTAAAGTTGAAAATGTGTTTTTGACTAAAAACTTCCATGATGTAGAAGTGGGTTGCATTCTGGGTCAGAACTTCCTCATTTGAGTTATCTGTTATTTTTCTGTCACCTCAGTGCAATGGGGCTGTTTGTAGGGTGACCCTGTGTGAAAGTTCAAGGGGTTAAAGGGGTTCTGACACAGGGGGGTGAGCACAATGAGGGTGTTATGCAGGTGGATTTGTGATTTCATCTTTTCATGCTTTAGGAACAGAAACATTTCTTACTAAATCCTATTTCTGAGCTGGCTGATTAATCTGAGTTCAAACCGGAACAGATTCCAGATAAACTCTTATTAATATTTTTGTTCCTTGATTACAATTTCTAGACTGGAGAATGGAGTTACAGCTGGACCAGGAAAGATTTGATGTAAAATATTGCTTGTGAAACATCTGAGATGAAAAACTATTATTAATATTTTTGTTCCTTGATTACAATTTCTAGACTGAAGAAGGGAGTTACAGCTGGACCAGGAAAGATTTGATGTAAAATGTTTCTTGGTGTTCCTGAGAGATGCAGCCCTGGTGCTGAGACAATGCAGTGAGAAATGAAGCTGGGTTTGAGCTCAGGTGCTGTCCCATGGGCTGGGGCAGGACAGGAGCTGCTCTGACCCTTCCTGCTCCCTCCCAGCCCAGCCTGAGCTGTTCAAAGGTTCCTCCCAGGGCAGCTCCCCAGCACAGAGCAGCTGCAATAATTCTGGTCGTATTCTGGTCTGTAATAATTCTCAGCTTTGCAGAGCAAAAGGATCAGGAAGTGAAGCTGCTTCCCTGGACAGGGGTGCCCAAAGCTGAGCTTTGCTTTCTGTTGCCTCTCCCATGCAGGAATTGCTCTCACACCATGGTTTGTTGTTTTCTGCTTTGTTTTAATTGGATCTCCAGCCTAAGGGAAATCATCTTCAATTTCAAACTGGTGGGAAGATAAATATAA